AACCCCCAGGTAAGCTCAGACGAGAACCCCCTTCCCCCCTCACAGGTCCTCCTCGACATCCCGATAGCAACCCTGTAAAAGCCCACGGTTTCAGATCGCTAAAGCTTCAGACAACAGCAACCCCCCAGCACTCAGAACCCCCCTCCTCGTACCCTCAAAAGGGGCAGATGTTCCCAAACAACGGGTGATGAAGGGTCCAGGTTTTCAGACACTCAAATCCCAGAACCCTGGTGATAAGTACTTCGAAGTAGTATATGCGCGTAAATAATAAGCAATACTATTTTGGGGGCGCCGTGTTATACTTACAGTATGATGGGCCCTAAAAGCCCTATTCTAAGTATTACGGCCCCGATATTACACCAAACCCCGCGAAAGCAAAAAGGCTAAAGCGAATCATTGTGAGGACCTGCCTCCCCCCTCCCGTTGGGCCCTAAACCCTAAATCCTACACCCTAGAACGTAAAATCTAAACCCTAAACCCTAACATCAAATGTTCAAGCCCTAAAATCTAAACCCTAAACCCCTAAACCCTAAACCCTAACCGTGCACCCTAAACCCTACAGAAGGGTCGATCCGATAAACAGCACTAAAACCAAACCCAGGCCCCACAGTCGACCGCTCTCAAACCCTATAGTAGAAGCCAGAAAGTTGGAACATGACTTTAGGAGGATTAGTGCTAGGATCCCTTGTACTTTACCTTAAGGGCATGCGGGTAATGATGTTCCAACTTTCTGGCTTCTACTGTAACCGTGAACCCTGAACCCCAACCCCCTTCACGGCGAGGCGTACTGGGAGCCGAACATTATTCGCACAGTCATCGGAGCCCTGGGATCTCGGGTAGTTAGCGCAGCTAAGTTTAGGGTTAAGGGTTTAGGGTTGAGTGTTAAGGGCATAAGGGTTTGCCTGGACCGGACCCCAAAAGTATGTAGAACCATAGCCTTTTATAGGTTTGGGGTCGTGATTTTACCTACTGTGGGGGGTCTGGGCAAGGGTTTAGGGGTTCCGATTCGTGGGACTTTCTTGGCTTGATCTTTTAGGGGTCCCCGGAAGCTCGAAGAGGCCTGCATGCAAAACGGGGGAATGAATTGGCTGAAGGGATTCAGGGCTTAGTGCATTGCAGTCCCTGCTCCAAAAAAAGGGTGAATGAATTGTTCAAGGGTTTAGGATTTGGGATTCAAGAATGAGGGTGTTGTAGATGTTGTTGTTGGGATTTTATCGGTTTCAGAAGGCGTTTAGTGTATCGCGTGTCTACGCAGGTTCGGGCCTGTCAGCTTTGTAGGAGTGTCTGTTCAGCTGGAAAACTAAACCCACTTAGATGAGGTTCCCGTTCCTATTTCAGAGAACCTTAGTTTCGACGGATGGGGCCCAGCCCAAAGACCAATACCCTAAGGCTCCATAGTAGTTCCTTTTTGGGATTACCTTATGTATACGGTGCGAAATATGAACCCCCAAAAGGAACTACTATGGATCCTCTAGGTAGGCTATCTATCTATCTATCTCTCTACCTATACTTTTTATATATGCATACATACATACGCCTGCATACATACACACACACACACACAGGTTTTGCTTGTTTTGCGGGCATTGGGCTCTCGCGGCAATCTGCAAAAAGGGCCTTCCTGTTCTGTTGAAGGCGATCTTGTGGTACACCTAGAGGCTCCATAGTAGTTCCTTTTGGGGGTTCATATTTAGAATCCTATAAGGTAATCCCATAGAGGAACTATTATGGAGCCTTAGGGCAAGCTCAATCGGAAGTGAGCGAACATCCACTGCACGCAAAGGAGTGGGGGACATTGTGCTAGGCAGGTTATATTCTTTGTGTAGAGTTAGGCAAGCACCAGACAACCTCAATCCCAGTTCCTACCCATGATCGAGAGTCGCTGATCCTTCAAGATCCAAAATCCAAACCGTATTGACCGCGAATTCCCCACTTCTCCACGCTAAGCCTTGAATCCTAGGCCCTAAGCCTTTAACCGAAAAACCTAATCCCTAATCTGTTGCCCCTAAGCTGCTCAGCTCTCAACTCTCCGCTTCAAGACACCGGAACTCTAAACGCAACTCCAAACCCTAAACCCTACAAGTAACCCGACAACACGGAATCTAGGAAGACCTGCAACGAGGGTTCGAAGCAGGAGACAAGGTCCCTCCCAATGCGCGCGTCCTGGAGCCGCTGATTTCGGAAGGGCCACTCCGGCTTCAATCCTAAACCCTCCTACTTGGGATCCAGGCTTTCCGGTTTCGAAAAAAGGGGCAGCAAGGTTCACCCATCTTGGCCCCTAAGCCTTCCTGCCAGAGCCCAAGGTTTCGGTGTACGTAGGTATGTGGGTAGGTACGTATGGGGGTAGGTCTGTTCGTATGTCTAGATTTTTTCTTGCATGTACATGTGTGTGTGTAAAACCGCTATAAAATTACACACATGTGTATTCGTATGCATACACATACATATACAATTTGTTGCATATAAATATGAATGTATGCATGTATATACAATACATATAAGTTTATGTGTGTATATAGTTAGTTGTGTATATTTATATACACATATATGTATACATATCTGTGTATGATATAGGCTGACATAGTTATCGACACAGGAGCTTTTAAGGTTTATTTCTTGAGCTTAGGGCTCCTTGTCGAAGCTACAAGAGCATACCCCAACCCCCTATCCCAGTTCGAGCCGCTACGGTTCCGTATTACACTTGAAGTCTTTGCCAAACCTCACCATAGTAATTAATTTAGGTCCTTGGGTTATAACCCTACACCCTCAACCCGAAAGTCCCCTTGCTCCAAGACTCTAACCTACGAGCCCTGAGCGGTCCTGCGTGAGACAACCTCCCCCTTGGATCTTGAATGAGGCTGCGATGGAAGATAACGAAGTCGGCGGTGCAAGCCGAAATGCAAAGGCAGAAGGCAGCAGCAGATTGTTGGTGGGGCTCAGGGTGAATTGATTTCCGGCTTTTCGGCTTAGAGCTTGTGCTACAGTCTCCGGGCTTTGGGCTTTACGGTAGTTTATTACGCAGAGGATGGTTTTAAGCTTCGCGGGTTTGGGGGGCTTGGGGTTTATGGTGCTTGCGAGTTTGACTGGACTGTGGAGTGCTATGTTTGCGAAAACGTTTGCGAGCAGTGGTTTGTGCGAGCTGGGTGGGGAAGGGCTTTCACAAAGCATGTTTCGGAGGTCGTGTCTTTCATGGGAACCCTAAGGCTCCATAGTAGTTCTTTTTGGGGATTACCTGAGAGGGTTCTACATATGAACCCCAAAATGGAACTGCTCTGGAGCCTCTAGGTAAGTCGTTGACCAATGTAAGTTCAAGGTTCACGAGTGACAAAAAGTTCAAGGTTCATAATGATTGGGGTGAACTCAGGGCGGAGGGCTCAGGAGACGGCCTTCTGATCACACCTCATGATGGCACCATGTATATCTGCTTCTACAGCTTGTATCGGAGGCCGGATGCTATCTAGTAAATGGGAGTTTCCGAAGATTAAGGGTACCTTATTTGGGGGTCCTTATAGTAAGGATCCTACTACTTAGGGCCCTATTTTCGGAATGGACTAGCCCCTGTGCTCCGGGATCAGATGTATGGTTTCGATACAAGAACCCGCCGGATCGCGACAATCCCCAAGGAGCTATGCATAGCCATGTACAGTGAATGATGAAGTGTCTACTTTTTGCCCGGTTTTCCGGTAGTACTCTTGTGCACTGTGACTAGAGGCCACTAAAAGCCGAGAGCTTGCAAACCCCGAGCCAGGCGTCCAGACTTTGGACCCCAACAGCCTCAAGCTCTACCAAACCCTCAACTCCAAGCTCCAATTCCCGAAACTTGAACCCTCAACTTCAAGCCCTAAGCCAGGTGGACAAGGTCGACTTCCGATTCTGCCTGCAGTGGCACGCGCACGAGTACGAGAACGATGGCCCGCTGATCCAAGGTTTAAAGGCACAGAGGGGTCTAGGCTTCATGCTCCTGGGTAAGGGTGTCTATACAACATATACTAAAGGGTTACGTGCCTTGTCGTGTGTTCTGTTGGGTTTGCGAGCCTTCCCAAACGCATTCGCCGAGCAGCAATGCACTGTGTTTAGTAGCTAGAAACTAGTACTTCTAATTCTAGCAGTCGCTTCACTGAAGTCTGTTCCTGCACCTGAAACCCCAAACCCTAAACCCGTTGTAAAGGGTCGATTCTTTGACTCGGCGACGGGAACAGCAAGTCTTTCTGGTCGTGGAGTTGAACCTGTATAATTAGCCTTGTTTTGAACATCGAAACATCTGGCTGTAGTCAACTGTTCAACCGAGACACCCTGCAATGCGGGCTTCGTCCTTGCTAGGTAGGAGGGAAAAAAAACCCGTTGTATATTGCTTGCCATCAAGGCTCGGGTATCGTTCACGTATTCTGACACTTGCTTGGGTCGGCTCGTGGTGCGCTGCCCGTGAAGAGTACAGACTCCACATGTAACTAGGACCCAGAGTAGGCCTACTACTGCTACTGCTACTGCTACTGCTACTGCTACTGCTGCTATTACTACTACTACTACTACTACTACTACTACTACTACTACTACTACTACTACTACTACTACTACTACTACTACTACTACTACTACTACTACTACTACTACTACTACTACTAGGCCCCAGAGTAGGCTCTTTGTCCCTTTCTTAGGGTTTAGGTTCCCTTATAACCCCCGTTAAACCTAAAAAGGGCAGCCTTTTTATTCCTGGGCTACTCTTAGGTCTAGGTAATGTAACACAGCCTCTGCAAGTCCTTGCCTGCCCTGTGCGACTGTGCTGATTAGTCGACACCATGGTCTTAAGTTCTTTTGTCCGCGACCTTCAATCCGAAAGCCGTTAACAGAAGACAATTATTTCCGATGAACAACCTGTGAAACTTTTAGAACCGTGAAACCTTACACAAACTCATCCAAAGCACACCTATCGAATCTTATCACAGCGGGTATCGTGGGGTTCAGGTCCATATCACCTCAGATTCTTGCCGTAAGCAGCTGCCATGCCACTGGAACTGGTTTTCCAAAACTGCTGCGATCAGAGGGAGCCACCAGGGGATGAAGTCACACTGCATGCTTCCTTCTCTGCCCGGCATGAGACGCCCGGTTCTCAATGCACATCCGCTTTCACAAATATTCCTGAAGGTGATGAAGCTTTAGTTCATCCTTCACTCCAGGGCGAAGCAGCTTGTCTCACTGAGACGGACGCCGATAAGCCTGAAATTCCCGCGAAGTCCTCGACGTCACCCGACCTTACAAGCTTCGATGCTTTGGATGCAGCGTTGATGCGAGGGATTCCGCTGCGCGAGACGCTGCAGTGGGGAGCTCATCTTTGGCTTTCGGATCCACGATCCCTGAGCGCCGGCAAGAAGGCCAAGCTCTGGGATGCTTCGAAGCCAACGAAAAAGTATGACAAGTTTCTATCGCACACCTGGGAAACCCACGGAAGATGGAAACAGCTGTCACTTCTTCTCCGTTTCGGCTGGCCTAGCATGATGATATTTTGGGCCGCTGGGGCAATGATTGCCTGCGTTCTTGTTCTACTCGAGGTGGGAGTATCCGAAAATTAGGGTTACCTTATTTTTGGACCCTTATAATAAGGATCCTACTATTCAGGGTACTATGTTAGGTCCCCTAGTTTCGGAAACTCCCAGGTGTTGCCACTCTTCACCGTGTTTCAACTGCCGCTTCCAACTTTATGGCCTGGCGTACATGGCACTTCCATCCCATATGGTGGCTGGGCTTAGGATTTAGGGTTTAGGGTTTATGGTGGCTGGGCATCAGGGACATGCATGTTTTCTTGTTTTGCCAGGTGAAATCGGAGTTTTGGTATGCGACCAACACCTCCCTAAACCATCCTAAACCCTAAATCCCTTAACCACTCCACGTACAACCTAAACCTCAAACCCTATAGATCGCTTAAAGGAACCCCTATAGTACCCCTTAAAGGAACCTTAAACCCCTAGCGGACCACCAAGGTTGCTGGCTGATGCTGCTGTCCTCCACCGGGGCCATCCTAGGGCTTATCGTTTTCCCATATCTTCCACACTTCGCGTCGGACATTTGTTTCTTAGATTTCGTATGTGTTCACCAGACGGACGACAGGAAGATGCAGCAGGGGATCAGGTCTATCGGAGCATTCCTTGCGTCAGCTTCGGAACTGCGCGTGCTTTGGAGCGCGCCTTACCTACAGAGGTTGTGGTGTGTCTTCGAATTGGCCGCATATCGCAAGCTCAAGCCGAATGGAAAGATCGTGATATCACGGGTTATGACGGAGGTTGCTGTTCTTTTGACCTTCGTTTGGGTGCAGTTGGTCGTTGTGGGATTCTGGCTCGCACGCTCGGGTCCCTACGGGGGAGAGCCCTGGCGGTTGCTGCTGGTGGTCGTCTGCGCGGGTCTGCCGATTCTTGCTTCAATGTCGCAGGCTGCAGTGCGGAAGCAAGATGCTGAGGAAGAGTTGAGGAGCCAGCTGGCAAACTTCGATGTGATGAATGTGAAGTGCAGCAACGAGTTTGATAGACAATGCATCCATGATGCCATCACCAGATGGTACGGCAGCATGAGTGCTTTCAACGAATACATACAAGGACCCTTCTGCCTTGAAGTACTTCAGCTCAGACGTAGCCAGCGCGGCATTGAAGGCCACTACTTCATGTTCTTGCTGCTGCCGACTAGCAGCTACTTTCTGGAGGGTTTTTTATCAATCGTGATGTCCGGTGTCCCCGCTGAAGTAGCGGTATCCTACTTCCTCGCCGCTGTGATGTGCTTCAACCTGATTTGGATTCCATCTGTCGTCGCATTAGGAGCTTACTTCACTCAGCACGGAGTCCGAGTGGGCAGATGCAGAATCAAGCCTCCCCTCTTGGAGTCACTCGTAATCTTTCTTCTGTGCCTCATTCTTCTAGCGGTTGGGGTCGCGGCCACAGTTGCCGGCATTGCCAACGGCATACCAGTGGCAATCCTGTGGAACATCGTGGGATTAGTCTTTGCTGCAGTGACTTGGATGAAGTGCTGGCGAGTCTAATGTGGGCACCTGAACAAGCATGTCCCGCTACACCCTAGGCCTACAGCCTTGAAAGCCCTGAAACCGTTGCTGTTGTTCAAGTGCATACCTGGACCCCGAAGGTCTGTAGTAGACTAATCGCCTTTTATAGTTTTTGGGCCATTATTTTGCCGACTTTGGGGGGTCTAGGTAGACCTTAACGCGATAGTTTCCTTCGCCCTCGCTCCAATTGAGTCCTTGTCGCATGAGCTGCAAATGCAGCCGGCAGCATACTATAGGGGCCTTAATAGTTACCTTTACAGTTTGGGGCTTCCGCAGCTTCCTTATTATTCTTATAGTTTAATTGGCCCAAAGCCATACTCTGATTAATAAGGCCCCTATATTACAAAGCTAGTTCCGACCGCCTCTGCATGTTTCACCTCACCCGGCGCAATATCCCCTATGCAGGTGGGGGTTAAACGTTGGACGTGTCATAGGGACCCTTAGGGGTGTAGGGGGAGGGGGGGGGGGGGGGGAGGTGGCCTTCATGCCCATAATATGAGGACCAAAAAAGGCTTATCTAAGGAAGTATAGTCCCCTACCCCCCTCCCCCCGCCCACTTAACCCCCTAAGGATCCCTATGAAAGTGGCGTCTCTTGACGTGCCGCCAGACTAGTCAGAGAGAGAAAGGGAACCTGCAATGGCCGATCCCAAAAGGTCCAAAGTACCAACCTTTGAGGGTCCCTTTAAGGATGCCTTTAAGGGGTTATAGGGTTGAGGGCTCCTGTCAGGACCTATTTAGTGGAATGGAGGGTTTCTATATTGCGAAAAACCATTACGATTCGGGGAGTTATCACCCATTACAGTACCTAGGACTCTTTGGGGAAGCTCTTGCCTCGTCTTCAGCATGTATATAGCTCATATGCGCATGCGGCCTCACCATGAGTATATCCAAGACCCGAAGCCCCGCAATGAGCCTAAAGGGCTCCTCTAAAGTAAACCGTAGGGTTAAGGGTTTAGGGTTTAAGTTGGAAACCGGATTAAGGCCAGATCGTGCTGGGATTCCCTATACGTTTCTCTTAAGGATTGAGGCTCTGGGGTTTCCAATTTTTGGGCTTCTACTATAGTGCTTCCACAAGGGGGCCGGTAGGATTTTGGTATCGGGGCCTTAATCATTAGAATAGGGTTTTGGGGCATAGTTTGCTGTACGTGTATCATCTCATAATAGGAAATAGTGTTGGCAAATATCTGGGTGCCTCTATTAGAGACTCTGTAGCTGAATGAGTGCACTTGAAACTATTCGGGGGGAGTGGCGTCTCTACAGAAATCAAAGTGAAATGGGAGTTTCCGAAAATAGGGGTACCTAATTTTGGGGTCCTTATAATAAGGATCCTACTTTGTAGGGTACTATATTAGGGTCCCCTATTTTCGGAAACTCCCAAATTTTTTCGGGGAGTCTTATGACCTCAGCAAGGAAGGAGGGGTCTTGCCCGCAGCGGGCTGGGTAAGATCCTACCGGTCTGAGAGTTCAAGTTCGAGGGTTTAGGGTTTTGGGTTTTGGGTTTTGAGTTTAGGGTTTTGGGTTTAGGGTTTAGGGTTTAGGGTTTGGAATTTGAGGGTTCCTTCATGTAGGGGTTCAGTTTATCAGAAGAAGGTCTGGAGAGTTTTTCGGTGCCAGCTAGTTCTCCGGGGCTTTGAGCGTTGATGGTTTTGGGGTTTAGGGTTTGGGGGTTTAGGGAGAGAGGGTTTACCTTTTGGGGTCATACGCTACCTTTCTTGAGGTACCTACTTTTGAATGCAAGAGAACCGAACCATAAAAATAGGTACCCTAAAAAAAGGGTAGGGTATGACCCTCTAGGTAGGCTAGGACCCATAGTAGGCCCTTATTCCCTTCTTTATGGTTTAGGTTCCCTTATAACGCCCTTTAAACCAAAAAGGGCACCCTTTTTAATTCCTAGGCTACTCTTAGGTCTAGGCAGTGTAACATAGCCCCTGCCAGTCGCTAGTCGACACCATGGTCTTAAGTTCTTTGTCCGCGATAAAGCTACTCTTAGGTCTACTTAAAGGATCATGGGACTTAGTAACTAGGGTTATAATTAGGTTAACTATACTTATAGTTACTTATAACCCCAATTAAGGTACTTATAACCTTACTTACTAAGTCCCCTGATCCTTTAAGTAGTAGGGGTTCGGGTTCGAGGGCCCAGGGCGTCAGGGCTCTTCACAGAATCCTTCGTGGCTTAGCTTCTGCAATCAGCTCGGTCGGATCCGGGAAGACTTGGAAATCTGGAGCTTGGGGGCCTACAGGGTTTAGGGGTGTAGGGTTTAGGGGTTTAGGGTTTAGGCCTGATGCTTCGAGTGCCTGTGAGAGAGAGAGAGAGAGAGAGAGAGAGAGAGAGAGAGAGAGAGAGAGAGATAGAGAGAGAGAGAGGGAGAGAGAGAGAGAGGGACAGAGAGAGAGGGTTTAGGCCTGAGTCATATCCAGCTTAAAACCTTGTTCTAGTTACTGGGACCTGTTCATTGTGTCCCTCTGCCCTGCCCCGCCCAAAACTGGCATGTCGAAGGGTAAAAGGAGGGACCCTTAATCAGGACCCCTAGGAATACCCTTAATATGGCTGGTATATAGCCCATTATAGGGTAGGGGTCCCCGTTAAGGGTCCCTCCTTTTCCCCTTTGAGCATAGCACCGCAAGAAACTCTTCTTCGGGAAAGCATTGAAGCAGTCGGACAAATGAGTCCCGCGACTTGTAACAGTCTGAAACCCTAAACAAACATCGTTGCCATTTATCATACTATATCTTATATTATACTACACTATATTTTATTGCGATGTACTAGACTAGTAGAAATATGCGCCACCGTCATTCCTTAGGGTTCCTTATTATAGTGATAGTAATTTATGCCCCAAAACCCCGTACTGATTAAGCACCCCACATAACGGGTATCGTTTATTGACCAGCCGTCTCTTTCACCGTTCACCTCAACAGACCCCCTGAACCCTAAACTCTACTTAAAGGATCACGGGACTTAGTAACTAGGGTTATAATTAGGGTAATTCTAGGGGCTGCGCCCAGGTGCGGGCAGCGCGAGTTGTTGTCAGCGGATGTAGCGGGGGAACGGGAAAGACACGGTCAAAATTTCCAGACGGTGCCGAGACAACGACAGCTCGACACCGGAACAAAAGTGTGACGTAGGCCCGAAGTGCACAACTTATGGGTGATCTTACGCTCTTAGCCCTCGTCGGCCCTCCATGTAGCCCGCATCCGCCCTCCGCCGGACCCCGCTGATGCTGATGATGCGCGCCCTTTTGGGGCTTCCGCAACCCACGCAAAAACTTGGAAATCATCACTTCGCGCCGCGGCGGGGCCGGTTGCGGGCGCCCGAGTGCTCATGATGCTCGCCGGCTCGCCTCCTGGGGTCGTCCACGGCGGCCCCGAAACCCGCCATGCCGTGGGGAATGGCTGCGAAGCGCGTGCGCGTTCCGAGACGCCTCCGGGCCCGGCCCCGCGCGGCCCAAGGGAGAAACCACGGTCCGATGATGCGGGGTCCGGGGCGGGTCGGCGGCACTGTCGGTCGTGGCTTCTGCTTCGCAGACGAAGCTCATTCGTCTGAGCCATAGCTCAGTCCATACAGGGCAGCGAAGCGCTGCCCGATTTAAGAGCCTCCGGCTCAAGCCGCCGACCCCGTGGGCGACAAAGCAGAAGCCGACTGCATCTGCACAGGAGCTATGTGGGGACCAGGGATGTGGGAAGCAGTTTGGGGCCACGGCTTACACGAAGCCACTTCTTGGCCCCGAAGGTTGAACCTTAAACCCTAAACCCCAAACCCTACCCCGCAACCCTAAACCCCGACCTTAAACCCTCAACCCCTACACACTGACCCTCCAACTTCAGCCCCCTCAAACGGGAGGGGGAGGGGGGAAGGGGGGGGAGGGGGGGAGGGAGGGGGGAGGGGAGGGGAGGCGAAAAAAATTGATGGTTTTCCTAGAGTGAACTGATTTGAACCCAATGGGCTGCGGTGTGATGCTTCTGGGGGCTTGGGTGCTGCTTGCAAACAGCCATGGGGTACCCCCCCCCCCCCCGCAGGGGGCGCCCGGTGTGCGGGATTTTGGTTGGGGAGGAGGGAAAAAGGGAGGTTAACACCTCCAAACCCATCGAGACCCATCCAACACGCCGCCAGGGTCGGCGGACTATACTTATAACTACTTATAATTCCAATTAAGGTACTTATAACCTTACTTACTAAGTCCCCTGATCCTTTGAGTATAAACCCCCAAAGCGCCACTTTGGAGGATCCTGGCCCGATCCAGTACGACGCGGACCTCCGGTACCGCGCAGCACAGGGCATGGGTTTCAGGGTGTACAGTAGCAGTCGTTATAGCACTACTAATGTGCCTGTACATGTGAACATGTATGTATGCATGTGTATCTGTATATATGTACACATAAAATCATAAAGTGCATGTATTTGATGTATGTATGTACGTACGTACATATGTATGTATGTATGTATGCAAAGAGAATTACACAAGAACCTGTACTATGGGGAGTGTCACGTTTCCGTTGTGCCGGGTATAGCGGGTGTTGGTGTTGCTGGTACTATTGCTGGTGCTGCTGTTGTTGTTGCTGTTGCTGGTATGTGGTTGGACATATTCTCGCCAGAGACTGGAGGCGTGGATCTAATTTTGCAAGACGGGCACTGCCTAGTTCGCTACTGGCTGTCCCTGGGCTCTGGTGATTGCTGTTTTGTCTGCGGTTGCAGGACATGCATGCTGTCAAGCAGGTTTGCACTGAATTGTGACATCTTCTCATCTCATCTTTGAGACTCCTCAGATGAGTTCACGTGCACCGGTTTGCAGGGTCAACGCCCGTGACGTGTAACTCGGAGCGTACCATAAGTGCATGAAGAACCATATATGAGTGTAACAGTTGCACTCAAGGCCGCAGTGCCTTATCCATGGAGATAACATCTACAATGAAGGTATCGGCAGAAGCTATATTTGCAGTATTGACTTTCAACAACACCGCACAGCCCCGAACGTGA